GTTCGTAGCCACCATTTGGGTGCTGGGAATCGAACCTGGGTCCTCTGCAAGAACAGTCAGTGCTCTTAACCGTTGAGCCATCTCTCCAGCCCCTCAGTTACCTTTCTTATATAGAACAGGCCTACCTGCTAAGGGCGGGTAGCACCCACAGTGGGCTGGGCTTTCCTACATCAATTAACAATTAAGAAAACACCTCACAGACATTTCCACAAGTCAATCTGATGAAAAAAATTCCTCAATTGAGATTCCTTCTTCATACATGACTCTAGTTGTATTAAGTTGACAAAAACTAACCAGCACAGTAGACCTCTTCTAAGTAAACTGTAAATAGGAAGACAACAAAAGGAATCCAGGTACCAAAATCCACTTGCTATTTGAATTCTCCTAAGGCTAAACTCTCTTTCTCATAGAGGTGTAAGGTTGAAAATCATCCATGAATGGTGTACTAGTTTGCTTCTTTATTGTTCTGATAAAAACACTGACCAAAACCAACTTGGCGTGGGGGGGCATGGTTAATTTGGCTTACAAACACAGTCCATCGTCAAGGGCAACCAGGGCAAGAACTCAGAGCAGGAACTTGGAGCATAGAACATGGAGGATAGCTTGCTCCTCCAGTCTGTGCTCAGCCTACATTTTTTTTTTCTTTTTTCTTTTTTTGGTTTTTTTGAGACAGGGTCTCCTTGTAGCCCCAGCTGATCTGGAAGTCACTATGTAGAACAGGCTGGCCTCCAACTCACAGAGATCCTCCTGCCTCTGCCTCCTGAGTGCTGGGATTAAAAAGTGTGTGCCACTACACCTGGCTTAGCCTACTTTTTAAAAAATATTTTATTTATTATTTTTATTTTATGTGTATGAGTGTATTACCTGCATGTAGGTCAGTACACCCATGTCGTGCAATGCCTGTGGAGGACAGAAGAGGCTGTCAAAACCCCTGGAACTGGAGTTATAGACAGTTGTTAGCTGCCGTGTGGGTGCTGGGATTCGAACCCAGGTCTTCTGCAAGAAAAGTCAGTGTTCTTAACCACTGAGCCATCCCTCCAGTGCCAGCCTACTTTCTTATACAACACAGAACCACCTGTCCAGGGGTGGCAGTGCCCACAGTGGTCTGGGCCCTCTCACATCACTCAACAATTAAGAAAATGCCCCATAAACATGGCCACAGGCCAAACCAATGGAGACAATTCCTCAATTGAGGTTTCCTCTAACCAAGTGTGTCAATTTGACAGCTAAAATTATCCAGCTCAAATGGTGAGACTCCTAAAAACTAGAAACAGTTGATAGGTTCACAGCTAGTGTTCAACACGTCCACAAGCCAAGACCAACAATGAGTGCCCCCAATATGGTTGCATTCTCTGGAGGGACAAGCCAGGCACCTGGCAGCAGACTAATGGAACTGAATCACATTCATTGAAAGGGGCAGCAGTTTGTTCTCAGTTGAATAACCACTTAGTTTGTCATGGATTTATTTTCAAAGCCACAATTCTATAAATACTCCCACCTACTGAATCCTTTATTCACATTTGTAATACCTGAAGTAATAACACTTTTTTTTTTTTGGTCTTTTTGAGACAGGGTCTCCCTGTAGCCCCAGCTGTCCTGGAACTCACTATGTGGACCAGGCTGGCCTTGAACTCACAGAGATCCACCTGTCTCTGCCTCCCGAGTGCTGGGATTAAAGGCATGAGCCACCACACCTGGTAAGTAATAACACTTTTAACCAAGGAAATCATCATAATATTTTAAACTATTAATCACCATATGGTACTGCGTCCCTGAGGTCAGGATAGATAGGATCTGGAATCAAGAGCTGCAGGGCATAGTAGATACACACACACACACACACACACACACACACACACATACACACACACACACACATATATATATATTTAATGTGTATGTGTGTATTGCCTATGTGTAGGTAACTGCACCTGTGTCATGCACTGCCTGTGGAAGACAGAAGAGGCTGTCAGAGCCCCTGGAACTGGAATTACAGACAGTTGTTAGCTGTCATGTGGGTGCTGGGATCGAACCCGAGTGTTCTGCAAGAACAGCTAGTGTTCTTAACCACTAAGCCATCTCTCCAGCCCCTGAAGTAGTTTCTTTCATGATCATATCTAACAAATCACTCTCAAAGTGTCTCTTTCCATACACAAAAGTTTGAGTTCTTTCTTGGTTCCCAATTGGAGGATGTGACATTGGTGTTAGCACACTGAAAAGTGAGACTGCCACCTGGCCATTTGGCATTCTTTATGCTACAGAACCATGCAACCATGGAGCCTACTGAATTGGTCAGATGATTTATGTGATTATCTACTGGAAATTTTATCAATGTTGTGTTTAAACATTGGGGGTCAGAGAGACTATGTCTTTGAATCCATAGGATCCTGTAGGGTATTTCCTGGCAGTGATATGTGCAGGCAGGACCTCTGGGGACTAGACTTATTAGGAAGAAAGGTTTTGTTCACTTACTAGACAAAGAATTTTGATCAATGGAAGTCCTAACTGGAAAGCAAAGGAAGAATAATAGGGGAAACAAGTTAGGCATACCATGTATAATCTCAAGACCAGTTACAGAAATGAGGATTGTTGTCATTTTCTCACTCCCTCTCTCTTTTCTCTCTTTGCTCAGCTTTTCCTACTTTCCTTTTGTCTATATTTTGTATATGTCATGTAAAAATTCATAAAGGTTAGCCTTATACTTTTTTCATTAGCTTATTGGATATTGGTATGGGATGGCACCTGAATTGGAGAGGAATAATCGTCATACAGAGATGACTACAATGGGTAATGGAGCCATTGCTATTTTGTTCTGGGGGTATTTTCTTAGTTTGGAGGAAAGATCATAGCATTGCTTTGTGTGAATACATTGTTTTTACGGTCAGTTTACTTTACATACAATGAGTATGTATGGGTGTTGAGTAACAAGAGGAATGTTCTATGTGTCTCACCTTAGATTTTCCATATATATTTGGAGAGGCAGGAAAACTAAATAAAGATATTTAACATTCTCATCTACACTTCTTGATGCAAATTTGGTTTGGCTAATTATATAACCTGATGTGAGATTTGGAAAGCTGAAAGGAGGCAGATGGTTGCAGTGATGGTCAGACTGAAGTGGGGTCTGAGACATGAGTGTTTGCAGCAGCAGGAGTCCAGCTTTCTGTCAGAAACAGTCTCCCAACCTTTCCTTTGCACTCTGGGTATGCCTTGAAGCCTGAATAGTGGCACCCCTTGATCCCACTGCCAGTGAGTTTTCTTTTACTTTTTTAAAAATAAATAATTCATTGAGAATTTCATAGAGATATAAGAATATTAGGTGTTTTGATCAAATCCATGCCCACTCCCTCCCCTCCAACTCCTATATCTCCCCATCACATTTTTCTGATAACTTCACGTACTCTTTCTTCTTTTATTTATTTTGTATGGGACTTTTGGCAGCTCTAACATTCCCCCCCTCTGAAGAGGTAACCTGAAAATCTTTTAAGGATTAGATAAAAGCTCCCAAATATTTTCCACATTTTTGGTCTTTGGAACAGAGTAGGTTGCTAAGAGGCCCAAGGACATTGTGAGTTTTAGCCAAGAAACTGGCTACTTTTCTTTGGGGTCTTTTTACCCTAACTGCCTAGCCAATTTCTACCTCCTATTCTTATCATACCATCCTCTGAGGAGGTTACCCAAATTGCCTATAAGGAATTGGGACGCAGAGCCAGTGAATTTTCTATGGTCTGACTACCTTTCTGAAATTAATGCCTCCTTGCCTGAAATATCTAGAATGAATTCTCTTCCCTGCCTTGATCTCTGGCTATATGAAAACAATGAACCCTGCCATGCAAGTAGTCATTTTTCCCTGGAATTCTGGATGTATGATAGTGTGGTCAGAAATCACTTTGTACATTATTTTTTTCAAGTGTCATTTCCAAGTGAGAAACATCACACTGGGGGGGGGGCACGGGGGACACCATTTTATATCAGAGAGCTGGCCAGATGCCAACAAACGTTCCATAGATGGTGTCCACATCTTAATCCTAACCTTGTTACAGTGCTCTCCAATTTCTAAAGTGTATTCACAAAGAGCAGAAGGTGGTGCTTAGAAGAAAGTACTAGAGATAGACAAGTCTAGCTGCTACAGGATGACTTCTTGGGTGTATGATTCTATACAACGGCCATTATTCTGTTTCTCATTTTATGCATGGGCAAAATTGAGATAATAATAAGGCTCAGGGTTTTTGTGCATGCAGATGCTGTGAAGCACTTAGGACAATAACTGACATATGGCACTCAAGAAGGTCACAATAAATGTTAGGTGTTTGTTATCACCATTTACTGTCTTCAGCACAGTACTAGGCCCAATAAACCTTAGAGTCATCTTTTAAAACCTCAGAGTCAAAGAGGATGCTGAAGCACTACTTAAGAACTTGGACATTTGCATTCATTAGGCCATTTAAACAGTTCTGCCATGGCAGTTCATCACTGAATACAATGATCTTTGGAGGAGGAACATAAAAAACAGGGAAGTAGAAGAGGGGTCTTTCTTCCTTTCTGAACTATATTCATGGCAGAGGCAGATTTGGGCTAAAGGTTTTGGCTCTTGAGCCCCTGAGGCTGGGAGACCTGTTGTGGTTGCTCAGGAATGGAGATGAAGGCAACAGGTCCCATGTGGTGCTGCCATTAAGTCGCAAAGTGCTTTCCCCATGGGCTCCTTCCTGACTAAGCTGCGACTATTCAGACAGCCCTTAGGGTCTCTGGATGAGAGAGCAGCTGGGCGCCCAGCTTGGGGTCCACAGAGGCCCAGCCTCCAGCGCCGCTGCAAGTGCTCGAAGGGGCTTCCCTAACTTTGCTGTTTGCTTTTCCTTCCGTCTAGGTCCGAGAGCAGAGGTTACGGTCCTTTCTCCGAGGTCCCAGGGGCCGGAGGTGGGGGCGTCGCAAGGCCGCTTGGGGCGGTGCTAGGCCGGCGGGCCCGCCCCGCGGCATCCCTGGCCCGACTTCCTCCTGCCGCAGGCGGCCAGCCCAGCTGGAGGAAGCAGCGGCAGCAGCGGCCACGATGAGCGCGGGCGACGCCGTGTGCATGGGCTGGCTCGTCAAGTCGCCCCCCGAGAGGAAGCTGCAGCGCTATGTGAGTAGGGGCTCCAACGCACCCCTGGCCTTCGTGTCCTCCGGTCTCTGCCAGCAGGGTGGCCGCGTATGATCCCGGGGGACCCTTGGCTCTGGGGCGCCAAATGCCGTGGCTCCCATAAGCCGGAGCTGCAGGCGAGGCCGATGCACGGAAAGCGAAATCGCACGTCGATCCGATCAGAGCCGTTACTGCGCCAGCCTCTGGCTCTTACCCGCGGGCTTCAGCGGCTCTAGACGGCTGCTGGCGAAGGCAAAGGGAAGCTGATTGGGGCTGAAACCCTGGCGCCAGCCTTTATGCTGGAGGAGCCAGAGAGACATCCCCAAAGAGTGTCCTGTCTGATTGGAGTAGACCCATTGCCCAGCGAGGGGGAACAGGGCAAGGGACAGGGAAGTGGACAACCAGAGGAAACCTGCGTGGGCAACTCAGGGAGGCTACTGCATTCTGCTTGGACTGTAAAGAGTGCTGTCGTTGTCGCTCTCGCAGGACACTCCTGTTAGGAGCCTTCTATATAGTGGAACTCTTTTTTCATCACGTCCTTTCTCAGCACATTCTTTATGCTGACATCGTCCTTTTCTGGTACAGCAGGAACCACTGACATTTACTATTATGAAATAAGGGACACTTGGAAAAGCACATCTGCCTTCACATCTTATGACCATTTTTAAATATGCTATACACAACTCAAAAGTTCCTTATCTTCAGTGTTCTTAGGATAAGATTTTAAAAATCTTCTTCTTAAAGACCTGATTGATACTGAGCTGCCTTGTCTTCAGCCATTAGAAAGAACCACTTCAGTCTCTAGAGAGTTGCGTATAAATAGATATTAGGAGTTTTTGCTTTTTGTTTTACGTTGGAAGTAACTTGATGGATCCATGTTGTTCATAATTCCTAATTTCTCTGTGAAACGAATGCATGCTGGTGGAAACTAACCCACCCAAGTCTGCACTCAGTTAAGGCAGTCCATCTCAAATGGGTTCAACCTGGTGCTAAACTGCTATCCTTATTTTGTCCAAAGTTTACCAGGACTTTTATTTCCACATTGAAAAGCACATATTGTGTAGAATTTGAGGGGTGGGATTATAAGACTTCAATAATATATGGCTACTTCTATAATTTATGACTGGAGCTTTTCCTGAACATCTAGTTGCTACTTTCCCCATTTCTGGGCTAGACAGTATCTCACTCTTAGGGGTCTTTGGAAAGGTTTTGTTTGTACTACTGAATAGCATCTTCAGTGTTGTTCTACTTAGAATGTACGTCATCACAGATGCAGAAATACAAACATTTCTTTGATTAAACACCAGTATAACCCTGCATCATTGTTTTTGATTCCACAAGTCCCTGACCACAAGGTCCCACATCTGTCAGTCTTTGCACCATCAAGCTGCTTCCCTAATTTTTTTAGCTTCTTTGAAGACTGATTGATATCGAAGAGGCAAGATATGAAAACATTCCTGTGCCCTTCATGGGCAGGTGAGGCTTCTACCGCAGAGTGCTACTTGTAATCCTGCTGGCTGGTTAGGTTTCCTTGTTGCTTTTAATGATAGCCATTTAAAAAAAAAATCACTGGCAGATTTCTGTGAGTTCAAGGCCAGCCTGGTCTACATAGTGAGTTCCAGGCCAGCTGGGGCTACAGGGAGACCCTGTCTCAAAAAGACCAAAAAAAAAAAAAAATCACTGGATATTTTCAGAGTAGCATACACTTTCCAGTACACGATTCGGAAAGACAGTAAATCTGGGGGACTGGAGAGATGGCTCAGCGGTTGAGAACACTGGTTGTTCTTGCAGAAGACCTGGGTTCGAATCCCAGCCCAGGGGCATTGCACGACACAGGTGCACTTACCTACATGCAAGCAATACATGCATATACATCAAATAAAAATAATAAATAAAAAATTTTAAAAAAGGAAGACAGTAAATCTGGAGAGCAAGTTTTATGGATGAGATTTTTTGCCCCAGTCTTGATTGCATCTTGTGTTCAACAGAATGGCTTAGGAGAATTTATTAGTGCTTCATGCTCTGAGGAAGACCTGGGTATGTAGCCTTTTTGTAATGAGTAGTTTGTTATTTTTTGATGTAATGGGCCTATGGTTAAGAGAGGATACTGTACAGTCTAGAGATGGATGGGTGGGGTACATTATGATGAGCAAGACTAGATACCATCTTACCAACATTCTAAGACATAAATCTTGACCTTTTAGTTCCTGGTTGGAAACTGTTTTTTAAGAGACTGCTTTTTTGCAATCCCTGGAATACACCTCAAAGAAAAGTTTCTACTCGTCATTAAGGGCTGCAGAAATTCCTTTTGCCACTAGAGGGCAAGGATGAGTTACTTCTACGGGGTCAGGTGGCGATGTTAGTCATACTCCCTTTAATTGAGCTCCTGTGAGGAATTTCTCCTACTAACTGGGTGCCAATTCTTAATTGGGCCCCGTATTTGGTGCTTGGAAGACAGAGAAAAGACTTGATTCCAGTCCTCAAGAGCTCCATAGTTTTAACATGTTTAACACAGCAACATTACAAAGCTGGTTAGCACAACTGGGACAATAATTCAGTTCTTTGTGTTGGCTAGAACTGGAGTTACGGATACTTGTTACCTGTTGTGTGGGTGCTGAGTCCTCTGAAGGAGCATCCAGTACTCATAACCACTGACCAATCTCTCCAGCCCTCGTTTTTGCATTTTAAGTGTGTTGACTGTAGGTTTTTTGTTTGTTTGTTTGTTTTTGGTCTTTTTGAGACAGGGTCTCCCAGTAGCCCCAGCTGTCCTGGAACTCACTATATAGACCAGGCTGCCCTTAAACCCACAGACATCCGCCTGCCTCTGCCTCCCAAGTGCTGGGATTAAAGGCATGCGCCACCACGCCCGGCCCTGACTGTAGTTTTTTTAAAAAAAAAAAAAAAATGTACGGGTACCCATGTCATGCAATGCCCAAGGAGACCAGAAGAGGGCATTAGATCCCCTGGAACTGGAGTTAAGGACGATTGTTAGCTGCTGTGTTTGGTGCGGGGATTCAAACCTGGGTCTTCTGCAAGAGAAGCCAGTGCTCTTAATGGCTGAGCTATCTCTCCAGCTCCCTGTAGGTCTTTTGTAGATACTCTTCACCAAATTGTGGATGTTCCCCTGTATTTCTCATTTACTGAGGTTTTTAAAAATCATGAATTGGATTTTGTATTATAAATAAAATACTTTTATCTGTAAGATAGTAATTTTCTTTTCTTCTTTAGTCTGTTACTATGGTGAATACTATTTTTTTCTGTCTTTTTGAGACAGGGTCTCCCTGTAGTCCCAGCTGTCCTGGAACTCACTATGTAGACCAGGCTGGCCTTGAACTCACAGAGATCCACCTGCCTCTGCTTCCCAAGTGCTGGGATTAAAGGCATGTGCCACCATGCCTTGGCATGGCTTGATTCATTTTTAATGCTGAGCCAGCTTTGAACTCCTAGGATAAATTTCACATGGTTTTCATGTATTCTTGAACTTGCTTTGCTATTACTTTGCTTAGGATATTTCTGCTTCTGTTCATGGTAGACATGGGCATCAATTTTCCTTTTTTTGTACTATCTTCGTTTGCTTTTGATTTTAGCATAATGCTGATCTCATAAAATGAAAAGGGAAGTGTTCTCTTGCATTTTCTGAAAGATATTGCATAGAATTGGTATTCTTCCTTAAATGTTTGGTAGAAATCACTATTGAAATCATTTGAAACTGGCCTTTTTTTTTTTCTGGGAAGGCTACTTATTAACTTTGAATTCTATTTCTTTAAAGATAGAGAATTATTTTTTTTTTATTTTAAAGAAAAGGGACTGGAAAGATGGATCGGCAGTTAAGAGCACTTACTGCTTTTCCAGGGGACCCAGGTTTGTTTCCTAGTATCCACATGGTATCTAATAACCATCTATAACTATACGTTCAGGAAATCTGATGCCCTTTTTTGGCCTCTGTGGGCAGCAGGCACTCATGTGGTGTGCTTACATACATGCAGGCAAAAAAACTCATACACATAAAAATCTTCATGGGGCTGAGAGATGGCTTAGCAGTTAAGAGCACTGGCTGCTCTTGCAGAGGACCCAGTGCAATTCCCGGCATCCACATGGTGGCTAACAACTTGTCTGTTACTCCAGTTCCAGGCTCTGAAGCCCTTTTCTGCCTCCTTGAGCATTGCATGACACGGGTGCACTTACATACATGCAGGCAATACACTTGTACACATGAAATAAAATAATAAAATATTTATAAATAAATAAATTTTTGCCAAAATTAAAAAGATACAGGACTATTTTAGGGTATACGTATCTTCTTTTTAAAACTTTTAGACAAGATCTCACTGGAACTCACTATGTAGATCAGGCTGGCCTTGAACTCACAGAGATATGCCTGACTCTGCCTCCAGAGTGCTGGAATTAAAGGCATGGTCCACCATACCTGGGTTCCATAGCTTCTTGAATGATCTATATTAGTTTATGCTTGTCAAGTATTTTCTCAATTTCTGCTGAATTGTCAGATTTATTGTCCTTTTTCTTTACCGAGATTTATGAGTGCTGATTTTTTTCATTTATTATTCTTTTTCTTTCATTTATTATTCCTTAACTTGGGTCATCTGTGATTGTTTCTGTTTAGTTTTGTTTTCGCTGATCAGTCTGGCTAGTAGTTTTGTTAAATATTCTGATATTTCCTAAGAACCAGCCTTCACTTTCATTTATCTCTAGTATTTAAAAAATTTTTAATTTATTTTTATTTTGTGTGTATGAGTTATGCATTACGCCTGCATGTATCTAAGTGCACCCATGTCAGGCAGTGCCTGTGGAAGAGGGCATTGAATCCCCTGGAACTGCAGTTACAGATTGTTGTTAGCCACCATGTAGGTTCTTGGATTTGAACCTGGGTCCTCTGCAAGAACAGCCAATGCTCTTAACTGCTGAGCTGTCTCTCCAGCCCCCTGATCTCTACTATTTTTTATTGCTTTTAATTTCATTGGCTTATCTTCTTATCTTTATTATTT